ATCAACTCCAATTTCATAAAGTTTTTTATTATTTAATTTTCTGGATTTTTGCGTATTTATCTTCTATGTTTTTTCTCAGCACTTCGTTTAAAAATTCTTACATTTTATGTTCCTTCTCCACACTAAGATATATTTAATAAAAGCAGGAAACATCCGACATTATTTTATAATTATTACCTCAATTGCAAACGAAAAGGGTAGAGTCGCGACGTAGGATCGAATCTTGTACATCTTAGGAGGGAAGCAGATTCGACCACCCGTTTGTTTGAATATATATACACATATTTCACACTTCATTTTAATAAAACAGCAGACGATGAGAACTTAGAATGAGCTACTTTATGGGTGTGACGGAAAGGGACTAGTTCTGTGAAGGTAATCGGGACTCAGATATGCATAGTTCACGATCTGTTACGCTCATATCTCCCAGTTAACCAGCGTGGTGTGAACTCATTGGGCTTTGTTGCTTATTATTTTCAAGCGGTAAGGTGTAGCGGCAACACGCTAGATTCATAGTCGTGACGTAACCCTTTCAAATTTCACCAGGGTTACCGACTATCATGACTAATTTCGTAATTTTCCTCAGTCTCTTTAGATGAGTGCTGGCATAGTAACTTGTATTCCACTACTGTCCTTCTCGTTTTAAGGGATGTCTTTTCTACTCAGGATCTTTTCCCCAAATCATTCGACGCTATATTATTATGTATGCCAGCTTCTTCTGAACACCTTAGAGTCTTATGAAACCAGTACGTGGACGGGAGGATATTACTCAAAGGGATCTTCGCATAATGAGTCGTACGACGTCATGAGATTGCGTTTGACAACTATCAGAAATTTCTCACACGGACAGAACACTTGATATTTTAATTAATTTTGCATCCGTCTACATTGAAATGAAAATAAGATCCATGAATTTTTCTGTAATTTTTTTTAATGACTGCAGTAATCTGAGAATGCGATTGTTCCACAAATCATTCTAAAATGTGCAGATTTGTAACATCAGCCTCAGTGAGTACGATAAGAGAATTGTAATATGATCTGAACGGACGGACGAAAGGACTCAACTTGCGCGTTATACGTTCATATTTAGTTCTTAGATAAAACAGTCGATAGAAATTTCATTAACTCGGTTGCAAATTGGTATCATTTTGTAGCTTCTGTTTGGGATCGACTGCCACATCGTCTTGGATGTACTCTGAGTAGTAGCCGTGTTTCGATTTCACACAATGAGATTATTTAAAATCCAAAAGTACAGAAACTTACACATTTCAAGGGACGCGTTGCTTTTATAACTAGGCGCTTTAATATATTTAAAATCCAAAAGTACAGAAACACACATTTCAAGGCACACGTTGCTTTTATAACTAGGCGCTTTAATTTCCAGTTCCTTCGAGTATCTGGCGGAGAACAGCCTGTTCTTTGTGAGGAAATGCTTAGCTTTTTGTGAAGTTTCACTTGGAAAGAATCGACAGCAAATAACTGTTAGTTTAATGTTGTCACTCGCTGGCACTATAAAGTTTGAATTGTTTTAGAAGGTGTATCTTTATTTTAACACCAAAAGAAAGAGACAGGACGTCGTGATGATGCGGTCAGCACAAATTGTCTAACTCCATGGCGCAGAGTTTTTTACCGGATAAGCTGTTACTCGGCATTAAGAAATAGTGGGTCTTCTGCACAAATTTAAACGGAGACAGATCAGTACTTTGTTATTAATTAAGGGAAATAATATATAAAATTACAGATATCCTAAATAAACTAATATTTACGAAATAAAATAAACGTAATTGATAAATTACATTATATTTTCGTATATCGCAAAGAAATTTACCCTGGAGATGGAGGAAAAACGCCCCTCCAAGAAACTGGTAACCACCTGCAAAAGTATGTGAAATTTCAACCCAAAAGACCAGAATTCACACTTTATCCGCCGTAAACCTCAAACTTCGTATGGGTTACGTCGACCGATATGGATCAAATTTAATTAAAGTTCATTGAGTAGTTTTCATAATGAAAGGTAATAGACGGAAAGACACGTTAATTTTGTGCACGTTGTGAAAAGAAAACAAGGTGATCTTACTTGTCTAAATGCAAGTTTTGGGAAGTTCGCAGGCGTAATACGCTGAACAAGCAATTGGCCAGTTCTCAGGAGAGAGATCTGTGAGCCTCTTCCGTGTCCGTTTTCCCGCGTACAGCTGTTTGAGCGCCGCAGGAGAAAGTAGACCGTGGCAGACCGCGAAAAGTGAGAGATCCGGACGTGGAGGTTAGCCGCTTGACCCCCACTGGGAGCAAGTTACTCGCGGGTTCTGTTGGATATAACCTACGAAACGCCATATCACAACAGCCCTATGTCACTTTCCTATTACGATACAATGTTCTGATCCTCTGCCAAACGCAGAGTAT